CAGTTGGCATCTTCCTCTTCATTCATGCTGCCTGCTCTGCCAGGGACCACCTGTAGCCACGGAGCCGCCCACCCACCAACCTCTGCTCGCCTGGCTACTTCCTGGTCCACTTTTAAGACTCACACACCCCTCCTCTGATATTCTCTCCACTCCATTTTTCTATTCGGTGTCCTTGTGCAGGCTCCAGGCGTACCCAGGATTACACGAGCAGGGTATATTACTGCACCACAATTTAATCTCCTGCTTATTTGCCTGTGTTTTCCATTAGACTATAAAGCCTTAGAAGTAAAGCTCAAGTTTTATCTTCATGTCCCTGTGATGTGCTCAATAAATGCTTATAGAGCACAAACTAAAGCTCTGCCTCTAAATCGGTGCCCAGTACTGTCTTTTTAGAGGTGGCGCGACACACACAGAACGGCACGGCACGCACGGGCCTCGCTTTGCACGGCGTGCAGGACACAAAATGACTGCCGTGCAAACTCAAAATGTTAATAATCTTTTTTTTTTTTTTTTTGCTGAGCCATCCTGCCACCTGTTGGCAGCTCAGCGGCTGCTCAGCTCGGGCTGACTCGAACCGCTGTTGCTCAGAGCTCAAACTCTTGAGCGAGCTCTTAACCAACTGAGCCACTCAGCCGGCCCTAAAATGTTAATAATCTTAATAACCAATGGGGAAAGTACAATTGCTCTGTGACATTTAAAATTTTTTGTTGAAACACTAAAAACTCACTTAGTGTTGGTTATAAATAAGAATATAAAAAGCAGGGCCGGCCGAGTGGCGCGATGGTTAAGAGCTGGCTTGGGACGCCAGAGGACCCCGGTTCGGATCCCACATGTGAGGGCCAGTGACACTGCCCTCTACAGCTAAGATGCTGAACAACAGCTCGACCTGGAGCTGGGCTGCCGTGAGTCACCGGCGACGGCAGAGGCTGCAGCCCCTGTGGCAGTGGGTTGCCATGGGCTACCGTATGTAGCCCGCAGCCAGCGTGAGTGGCCAGCAGCCAGCGTGAGCGGCCAGCAGCCGCAGTGAGCGGCCGTCCAGAAGCCGGCGACTGATCTGCCTCACCTGGGAAGAGCGCAATGATGGTGCCAACTTGGGCCAGTGAAGCAACGTCCTCCACAACTAGACTGAAGAAAAGGACAGCAACTTGTCTGTTCCCCTTCCCCCAATTCCCCAGCACTGTTTCCATCCCCCAACTCCCCAATAAAAATCTTTAAAAAAAAAAAAAGAATATAAAAAGCAGTAAAACTATTTAGTACACTATAATTTAAAACATCAGAAACATTGAAAATTCAAGTGTTCTATTTCTTTGTAAAAAAATTATCACAATTGCTTGCCTTATTTTTTCATCGTAAAATTTATAATATGTGTTGAGCATCTTATCCATGCTTTGACAAATTATCACACTCCTTTCTAAGTTTTTCCTTTGTACTTTCAGTGTCATGGATTATCTTTAAAGGAATCATCGATTCCTTTAGGCATTGTGTCCTGTAAACCATTTTCTTCTTTTCCTTCATACTGCCCTCATTTCCATCAACACATTTGCCTTCACCAAGGTCCTCTAGCCGCCCAGCTTGAATCTCTCTAATGCAGCGGGTTCACATCCCCACTGTCAGCTCCTCCTTCTGTAACTTCAGTCACGTTAGGATCGACTTTAGCTTACACTGTTATCTTGAAGCATTTTCAGCTTTCTGGTCCAATCCCCTCTTTTAGTTATCCATTTCTGTAAAATGTCATATGAGTTTACCTCTGGGAGACAAGGAGGCCACACAACTACACACTATGCTGAGAACACGTGTGGAGTGACAAGTCACCGACACACTCAGAAGAAACACAGTTGGTCACTGATCACTTGTGATCACTTGTTAGTTACAGAGTGATCTATGGACTGAAGAGCTAGTAACCAAGTTTGTGCTTTATGCAATTATAGCAAATGCATTGTAGTGACTGAAATCTGAACTGTGTTGCTGGGAAACAGGTTTCACTGAACAGTCCATAACTGAAATTCATGCATATCAAAACCATGCACAATAAGGTCTACTGTTGTTTACAGCACAAATCTGGAGCCAGATTTCTAGCGATAAATCCCCACTCTGCCACTTAATACTTGCATGACTTTAGGTAACTCATTTGATGTTTCTGGGCTTCAGTTTTTCATCAGTAAAATAGAGATAATAGCACAAACCTCACAGAGTTATTGTGAGGACTAAGGATATACAGAAGCACCTGACTCTTAGTGAATGCTGCAAATACTTTTCTTCCCTATTACTGCCACAGCTGCCACTACAAACACTTACATTACACTGTACCTCACTGTCTAATACAGTAGCTACTAGCCACGCAGGGCTAGTTCCATTTAAATTAATTACAGTTAATAAAAATTAAAAATTAGATTCCTCAGAGATACTAGCCACATTTTAAATTCTCAATAGCTACATTTCTATCACTGTAGAAATTCTAATGGATAGCGCTGTTCAATACTCTTGTAATAGGTAAGAAAATAGAGTTGCATATGTGAATTTGATATAAATAACAGTCATCACTTCACAACTGGCTTGAAATTAAGAAGGAATTATTAAGGTAAAAGGAAAATGTGAGAAACATATGTCAAGGGAAAAAAAAGAATTTCAATGAAAGGCTTCAACATTAATAAATGCTGAATAAAATGGATTCAGTTTCTTATAGTTGACATTATCCATTCAAATTTAATTTACAGTGAGAAAGGTTACCCAAATTTTCTAAACTTTCCTTTAAAATAACTGAAGAAAAATGCATATATATTAGTGTGCAATTATACACAAGATTAAAGCATTAATAATAATTGAAACAAACTAAACTACATTTATACTCATCCTTCCTTCCTCTCAAAAACAAAAACAAAAACAAACAAAAAAACCCCAGAAATTAAATTTTCCATAATACTCCTATAATAGTTTATCTTTTTCCTTTTTTTAGCTGAGCCATGCTGCCACCTTTTGGCAGCTCAGCGGCAGCTCAGCTCGGGCCGGGCATCGAACCGCTGTTGCTCAGAGCTCAACTATAATCGTTTTTCTGATTCCACAGTTTCACAGCTTCTGAAGTCTCAGGTAACTGTGACACATCTGTGTGAGCAGAGGACATGCTTGCAGGGCTGGAGCCACAGCTCTTCTAGGAGTGTACCTCACAATGAACTGAGCACGGTACTTCTACACAACAGTCTTAAATAAATGTTGGTCAAGTCGAATTAGCCAAACACCAAGTTGATAAAAAATGTTTCTAGAAAAAAGGGGATCATTATAAAGGAATATATTTTAAGGGAAATTTCTACACCAAAAATCCTGAAGTAGAGTCTCATAAAGTGACCATTTATGTTAAGCCCAATTTTATTCAAAAAGAGCAAACTTCAGAACAAAGTTAATATGACACATTTCTAGAAAATATTTGTGGTTATAAAGGAATAAAAATAAAATAATTTCCCTTACAAGTTTTATACCCTAAGTTCCACGGGAAGGTTTTCTAAACCACTCCTTAAAAGAAAAAATTGTGTTAACACACTATGCTAAATCTAACACTTGAAACAAGATCTTAATTTTTCAAAACCTTAACAAGTATCTATTTTCTTTTACTGATAAAATGACACACTTTACTATGTCAGCTTGTTCTTACAAATCACTTTTTAAAAGTTACTAAAATAATCTCATTTTTTTACAGATATCATGATTCAATGACAATTTCTCTAGTGAAAACAACATCACTGAGTTAAAAATATCCTGCCAACACCTTAATGTCTGACTATGCTAATATAGAAACAGCTTTAGTAAATGTCTATTTGGGTTGAATTCAGAATGTATTCATTTCAACCAAGTTGGTCACTTGGTTCTCTGACAAAAACATGGTGAAATCTCAAGGCAAAATAATAATAACAACAACAACAACAACAACACAATAACAACAACCAGAGGGAAAAATATTTAAAGTACTGTTACACTCTTAAATTCAGGATGAAATCCAAGTAATCAAATTCTACTACCAAGGAAAGCCTATGTCAAAGTAAAGCTTCCTTCTAGAAAATACTTTCTTATCAGAGATTCCAGATTTATGAACAGATATTTACAAAAAAAGCTCAGTAAGCTCTGCTCATAGGACTAAATTAATCTAGAAGAGCAGAAGCTAACTTGTTAACACAGTCCAGCATTCACAGAATCACATGTGATGTGATGGTTCTTAAATTTTTCTAACCCTACTATGGAGAAATCATATGCTATACTTATTTTTAAAAATAAGGAGACTCCTTTGGGCATTACTGCTCCTTGTCAAATGTTTACTGCAGGCGTGAAAAAGAATAATTTACTTTTAAGCCGCTAATATTATAAAAGGAATTGGTTCATCTGATGAGTTTCTTCCATATCTGTATGGTATATATATGGCAACTGGGAGTTAGGATGTCAGGCAAAAGATATAAGGAAGAGTGGATGGAGCCCAAAATTTTGCATATGTCAGTGTCTCTTGGCCTACAATTTTTACAAAATATCTCAGAGTTAGAAACACTATTAAATATGCAGCTGCTTTAAATTCGTTTTGGAAAAAGACAAGGTATAAATAAATAAATGACACCTAAGTATCTGTTATTCTAGTAGCTGATATTATTTGTATTAACACTAGTAGAAACCTGAAGATGTTTTTTCAGGTTTTTAGTCAATGACAATCCTGGCTACTGCGCCTCAGTGCTTTTCTGTCTTTGATGATACTATTTATACACTGGTCTTTTTTTTGGCAGCAAATTTTACTTCTTCAGAAGTGTATTGGCTTGTTTTCAAATTATGATTTCTCATAAATAAAATACAAACAAAAAACGAACATTCATTTTCAATGTTCTAATCCCCTTTATGTTCATTAAATCATTACTATTTAGAACTAATTACTAACATACAACTCACTGGCTTGTTATGTGAAACCAGATCCAAGAACTATATGAAAGCTTGTTATAAAATCCATAAATAGTTTTGGGTAGGACAAAACTTACTGTTCAGAACATTCTCCAGTTTTTGCGTCATGGATCCTTCTACTTTTTCCGTTCCATCCGCTTCTAGTTTTTGATGGATGGCTAGAAAAAAATACCTAGTTAAAATGTAGGCTATTTTAAATAGATGGGAACACGTTACATCAAAATGACATTTTTAAACAGCTTTTAAAAATGGTCATATTATTTTCACTGCTAGAAAGAAATACAAACATGCAAAAGTTCTGCACAAACTCTGCAAAGTAACCAACAGATACTAGTCTAAATTATTCATGGTTTAACACTATTAAAATAGGACATTATATACCTAATCATCTGCTCCTCAATGTTGAGTGGTAAAAACAGTTGAATTACAAAAGAAAAGTGAGACTTTAGTAACTAATATCTTTGATATTTGGCCACAGCAAAGTCATACTTATTTCTCATTTTCACCATCTGCAAAATAGAAATACTACTATTTGAAGTATATCAAACTCAAAGTATTTAATTTCAGCCTTGGGACACAACATGGTAAAATACATATTATTCATGATTATTCATTTTGTAATTATTTCACTGGAGGTTCCCAAGAAATATCTGGTACCACCTACCAGTATGTCAATCTGTGGATGTACAAATTGCACTGGAGTTTTTTGCTATTATTAATATATGTCTACATAATTTTTAAAAAAGATTATTAGAAAATCACTTAACAATTTATATTTTCAAACTATTTTACTTACAGAAGACGGGAGGTTTTAAACAAAGCAAATTAGGCTTACTTAGGTAAAGCACTAAGAAAAATTTGAAAACATAATGGTCAAATATAATTTCAAATTCAAAATTGTGACATTATAAAAATAGCAAGGCAAACATTCATTAAGACATGACCATAAGTTAAGAGTGTCTAATGCATACTGCTCGTCTTGTAAGAGGCCAATGATGTACATTCTAATATTATTTCTATTTCACAGATGGGAAAACTATGGCTCAGTGAAATTAAATAGGTTAACCAAGGTCACAAAGCCAAATTCAAAATTTGAACTCAAGCAGTCTCATCCCAGAACAAAAAAACTTCACCCCATACTGCCCATATTACATAAGCAGCATAAATTGTCTAAGTCTCTGTTTTCACATCTGTAAAATGAAAACAACAGACTTATTATGTCAGTTAGGAACTGCATTCATTTGCAAATAAAAGGACTTCTCTCAAAAGTAATAGCTGCTAAAACGCCCAGGATTTTATTCTTTCATATAACTTGCTCTAGCAAACACGCAAATATAAGATGTGTAACCCCACAGACTTCACAGTCAGTACACTGAAATCAGCATCACTGTTATATTAGCTATTTTTTAACAAATAGAGTGTCAAACTCTTTCCTATAAGTAACTTACAGGTTCTGCCTCAACCCACCAGTCACGGGTGGCAGATTTACTGAAAATAAAATAAAAAGTCTGTCTAAGCCAAATAAAAAACAAAAAACAAAACAAAACAAAAGATGTGTATTTCTTTAATAATACAATTTAATTTGTTTCCCTTGACTCATTGGTTGTAAAATTCTGGGTCAAATTCAGTGCTCAAATGCAGTATGAATACATTCTCAATGTGTGATAACATCTATTTCTCTGCTCTTTTTAAGCAGTTTCTAATCCTGATCTTGTCCTTCTTTTACTTTTTTTTTTGGTAAGTCAACCTCAAATTTTGTTTGAAATTCTAAAGTAGACTAATTCTGTACTGAAGAAACACATTCATATCAAACTACATTTGGAAAAAAGATCAGCCACTATATTTTTAATTGTCTTGGTTGGTTCAGGAATGAAAAAAAAGTTATTTCTTTAGTGTTTCAAATTTAGATTATGGTAATGGTAACATAAAACATCTTCAAATGTCAAAGCCTGAACTTAACTTGTCCTTAAGGTAAATGGAAAAACACCTTCCCTATCTTTAAGAAAAGACGTTAAAAAAGCGAAACTAAAAAGACTTTCACGTTCTATACAAGCAAATCTGCTCATGCTATTTATTTAAATGTTGCTGTGACTTTCTGACAGTCCTGGTTGCAAAAGAATACTTGGCTCTCACTACTTATCGCATTTTATCAAGTAGGCACTGCATGTGGTTTATACACAGCAATAAGACATCATATCATACATAACCCTCTTCAAATGATACTTTCTAAACCAAAATTAGCATGAAAACGAAATTATGCAGCCACATTATCTGTTGCTGACAAAACCCATCACTGATCAGCAGGTCAAGACGAGGTGAGCCTGGCTCGCCCCAGAGCTCAGTTTACAGCCCTTTTCTGCTGACAAAGCAGCTTCCGCTGCCCATCTCTACCACAGCAGAGCCACTGTCAAGCTGTCAGCCAAGCATGAGGACCAAGAGACACTGGGATCTGATAAAGGCAATCCTATTTTCCAGAAAATTAAACCAAATAACCCAATGTCTGATTCATTTGACCTTTTATTTTCTCTGAAAACATTTTTAAATAGTATAACTCAATAAGAAACTTGGTACATGATCACAAGTTTGTTATTGTTTCTAATCTATTGAAACATGAAGCAGTTGAAAACTATACATTTACATTTGGGAAACAAAGTATATATAAAAGTTAGAGTCAAAGAAAAATCAGTTATAAAAGGACTGCCCATTGATTTTTTTAAATGATTTTAACTCTCTAATAAAATGTAGACATCAAATATGCAAATTTCAATCAAAAATCCTAATTCTGTTCATGCACTTACATAATGCCATATTAAATGAGCCACTAAGAAGTGACGTGTGTGGATGGGCAATGTCTACGAGGATTCACTGCTGGGTACAATGTGATGTACGTACTCTAACCACTATATGTTACTGCTAGCCTGTGTGACATGGGAATATTCAAACCAGGTCAGAGACTAACTATTTCTATAAAGAACCAAAAGGTAAATATTTGGGGCTTTGTGGGCCACATCAGGCCTCTATCACATATTCTTCTTCTTCTCTATTACTTTGTTTTGTTTTTGTTTTGAAAACACACTTGAAAAACATTCTCACATTTAACTCCTAGTCTGCACAAAGACAAGCTGGGGCCTAATCTGACCCACGTGCCAACCTCTGAGCATAACACTTACTAAAGGAGGAGGCCAGGAAGAGTTATGGGAAGGTGTATTAATAACTTAAATTTATAAAGAGCTTTTTAAACATTTAGCTTCTACTTTATTTTACCAAATTTTTATGAGTGGCTAAATCACATATAAATTGTATTTAAATTGGTTAAGTTGGGCCGGCCGAGTGGCGCATTGGTTAATAGCTGGCTTGGGACGCCAGCTCTGAGCAGCAGGCCCCGGTTCGGATCCCACATGAGGGCCAGTGCCGCTGCGCTCTTTACAGCTAAAATGGTGAACAACAGCTCGACCTGCCGTGAGTCACCAGAGACAGCGTAGGCTGCAGTCACTGCTGCAGTGGGCTGCTGTAAAGCTACTGTGAGCTGCCGGCAGCCGGTGTGAGCTGCCAAGAGCCACCGTGAGCGGCCGTCCAGGGCCTGGCGACCGATCTGCCTCACCCGGGAAGAGCACAATGATAATACCAACATGGGCCAGTGAAGCGACGTCCTCCACAACAAGACTGAAGAACAAAAGGACGGCAACTTGTCTGTTACCCTTCCCCTGATTCCCCAGCGCTGTTCCCCTCCTCCACTTCCCCCCCCCTGAAAAAAAAAAGAATTGCAGCATAGAAGACTAACAGGTATAAAGGATTCTCGCTTAGGTAATTGGGTATTATATAACCATACCTGCCTAGATTATCTTCATAGATCAAGAGACACAACAGACTGCTAAAAATCAGTATGACTCACACCACCTGGAATAGCAGCAATAACAATAACACGGGGAGGGAGGACAATCATGTATGGAGTAACATGTGTTTCTCTGCCTTGGCCTCTTTATTTTGGCATTCTTTAGTCAAGTATATCATAAACAGGAATAACTCACACAGTTTTGGCTCATAGTTGCTCTGAAAAAGAATAAGTGATAATGCTGGACTTACCACTAAAAAATAAGTGACTGTACAGGTGACAAGCTCAAGGGGCAGTCAGAGAAACGGTCATGGAAACAAAGGTGACAATCAGATGGCACGAAGAAAGTAAAGAAGGCTTCAATGTTATGAGAAGCTACATAAACATCACTCTAACCTGGGAGGGCTGGTGTGCACAGTGGCTGGTAAGAAACCAGGGCTCATCAAGACTTCAAGCTACTGGGAGAGAATGGCAGGGTGACGGCCATGGAGAAGTAAAGTACTATAATGCTGGAAATACTTTTGTAGAACATAGTAAAGAAAAAAAACTATAATAAACACACTTCTCATCAAGTTCTAATTAAAATACTCATGGGTATACACAAGAAAAAACTGGCAATAGCATAGAAACTTAAAAATAAATAAAGTGCATAGAAGAGGGTAATAGCTACTAACTGTATCTCCAATTGGAACAGACTAAAAAAACATCCTTGGACTGTGTATAAAATACTCCACTTAGTCAAAGAGAAGAACACAGATTATATGAAAAAGAGCAGAGAAGGCATTCATTTCTACTGTATCACCTCTATTAGCCTAACTCTAACACATGGGTAGCAGAGACCAGAAATATCTTCAAAGTTTTTCATAACTATCTTCAGGACTATAGTTCTGTTCCCTCACTTTTCTCATTTCCAACACCTTTCCTTTTACAACCATTAGAGACCACATTTCCCAACAGGAAACAGAAGGAAACTATTGCTGGGCAACTTAGCATTCTACTGAAAAATGGAATGAGTGCTGGGCACCATGCAGAATAGCAGAAGGAAAGGAGTAATATTTTTATATACAGCCATTCAGAGACAAACCATAATCTGACATAACAAAAGTGTTAAAAACTGAAGATCTGAGTCTACAGTTTATAAAAGCTTATCAAGTGTTGGGTAAAGTGAATAAAAACAAGACCTATATTACAATATAACCTAAAAAGGTACATATGTATTTCTTAATTCAAGGCTAAACAAACATATATTTTAAACATTTAGGTAGAGAAAAACAACCAATTATTCTACAAGTAATAAAGAATTACACTGGCTCAGGACTTCTATGC